ACTATACCTCAAAGCCATCAACACTTCGTACCTCTACTTGTAAATACAAGACATAAAAAAATTAAAAATCAGTACCCAGCCCTAAAACTGCTCAGGATCTTAACTGTGAGCAGAGCTCACCTCTGCAAGAACAGCTCTGTGGGTGTGTAATTCACTCTGAGGAAAACCCCAAATCACCCTCAAATAGCTGGGAGAGCTGGCTGCACGTAGCTCTGAGAATACGTTCTTACAAAGTTCTTACAAAATCCCTTACAAATACGTTCACGCTCTTACAGAATTTCTACAAATGCAAATTTCTGCAAATATTCTCCAGGGCTGAAGCTAAAGACAGCTCCAAACTGCAGCACGCTGAGCAGAGCTCCACCCGTTCACCCGGTGAGCACCCAACAAGGCAGTGCCAGGCATCAGCTGCACGCTCACAGCCCCACGTGCCCGCGGACCATCCCTACCTCTGCCAGATCCTCCGAGCAGAAGGAGCTGGCCGCTGCGCAGAAAGGTTCCGTCTGCGAGCAGCCGTAACGCACAATAATGATGAATAATCAAAAAGTCGTCATCTCCTTCGAAAAAATAACACAACAAGCCCCCGAGGTGGTTTACCAGCAGCGATACTATGCTGCTACAAGCACACGAGCTGGGCAGCGTGGCACACCAGAGGCAACTCGCTGTGTTTACCTTGGACAGCTCAGGCCGGCTGCAGGAGCACAGAGCCCCTTTGTGCCCCCGTGGGGAGCTCAGCTTTACCTTTTCACCCATTTTCACTTGGATTCCTGGGCGGAATTTACCGAGGCCTCATCGCCATTTCGGGACACGTGGTTGAGACCGGCAGCACCCCGGGGTGGGCTGTTGGGGGACACCCCCACACCCCATTTCTTCCTCCGGACACGGCGGGCGCAGGGGCTGAACCCTCTGCTGGGGCAGCAGTGACAAAAAAGCAGCACACAGAGCTCCAAGTCCAACATTTCTGTTTCAAGAGGAATTCCCAACACGACTGGCTTGCACAAAACTACTTCCAGCTGAAAGCGCTGAGCTCAGAGGGCTGAGAACTAATTTGATGCATTTCTTTAATATCTTTCAGTCGTATGAAAATGCCATTAGGCAGCCAGGAATTTCTTCTTTTTTTTTTTAATCAAATTATTAAACAAAAACATCCTGAAGACATCAGGAATCACTGTGACACCGTCTCACCATCGTTAGCGTTTATCATTTTTAAAACTGCAGATTAACGACCCCGATGTAAGTAAGCTTTTAAATACTGTTTTGCATACTAGGCTACATCTAATGAAGATCTGTGGATTTTGATCTCTGCTGCAGCAAGCAGCTGCAGGTAAACAAATAACTGCCTCACGCTTAAGTATTAATTTTATTAGAGGTGTGTGCTTATGTGCACGTATGAATACAAACAAGGGGTTGTTTTTACTCTATTTTCTTTTTATTTCACTGCAGCCAAATGGCTACCAGTGGAGAGCTACGCCATTACATTCCATTTAAGCTTGAAATAAACACCTAGAACTGGACCTTTATAGTAAAAATATTCAGGTTTAAAATATTTTAAATGTGAACGTGAAATACTTTTCACTTCACATAGTTTTCAATACCTTGAAAAGCAACACAGGCACCCACAACTTCTGATGACACCTAAAACGACACAGAGAGCCCCAGCCACAGCACCACCACAGACCGACAACGCGCTGAGCTAAGGACTTGGCAGCAGAGAAAATTAATTTTGCATCACTGAGGAATATTGGCTATTACCAGAGGTCTTCTTCTGAAAGGTGCCATAAGCAGGAGCTCGCTGAAACACCTTCCCCGAGTTGCCTGCATGGGGGCCACATGGATGTGGCAGGTGTGTAAGCAGCGCTGGAGTTTTGAGGAAAGCTTCCCAACATCATCGCTCACCTCATTTCTTTTCCTCCCCGTTTTTGCTTCAGGACCATCACTGTCAGCCCAGCGCTCTGGCTTTTGGGGTTTAGGGCTTTTGGGGGGGGGTCTTCTTTTTAAGGTAACACTGCAAAGTCCATAAGAGGGAGCTCAAACACAGCTCCAGCTGAAATCCCTCAAAAGTAAGTGACTTTAACAACGTGTATTTTAAATAAATAAATAGGTAATCAGCCCTGGGGAGCCGAAAATGTTTCTGACCGACCAAGAGCTGCCTCCAAAATGCGGGTGACAAGCTTTAAAAACTTCAGTCCTCCAAATGCCATTTGAAGAGCCCAGCACTACCTGTGTCATCTCGCACGTTATTGTTTTGTTAATTGCAATTTTAAAAGGCAGCAGCGATCAGCACCGGGCTGCGTTACAACAGAAACTGAGAGTAGGCCCTGGTAAACAACTCATCCCCAAGGCAGAAATCAGTGCGGTTCTAGAATTTCACGCTTTACATGAAGAAAAAAAAAAAAAAAAGGAGAGGAGCAGAACCACAAGCAAAATACCGGAGTCACACAGAACAAACTCCCCCTCTCCTCACCCACTTTGTTACTATGGGACTGGCAGAAATCTCTGGATTATAAACACGAAGGTCCCACTCACAAGACAATTAAGCAGATCCAGTGCTTCTATCAGCCACCCACCTCCAAGGCTCTTTGCAAGCTCTGCGTCTCCCAGAACAGCTAAAACGCGTTTTGCATCGGGCAGCTGCAAGCCAGGACTCTGCTGCTCCTGAAAATTGGGGGATGCTTTGGAAACCAAAGCGATTTCATTTGCAAAGGGATTATTTTTTTTGTCAACTGCAATACACAAGTAAAGGGGGAACATCACATGCTGCTTTGTCCTGGGTGAAAAAAAATCATATAACGTAAAAATCTCAGATGAGCAGCAAAAATAGGTGGAATATTAAGAGGTCCCAAAGCAGGCTCAGGGACAGCATGGGAACGCACCAGAAATGGTGGAACGGTAGTTCCCTGCCTCTGCTGTGACCAGTAACTAACAATAAAAGAGACGAGATGGTAAACATTGCAAAAAGACAATTACTAATAATGAAAAGGCAGCAGAAATTTTGGGCTGCTTCCACAAACTGAGTAACGCATTTTCGAACTGACAGCGAAGCGCCGGTTGCCAAATGAAAATGAGAGCAAACGGCAAAGTTGTGCTTAACCCCTTTTTGCTTTTATACTGTATTTTAAACACCGATGAAATCATGGAATTTAGAAGAAAAAGTCTACAAAGGAGACATTTTACTCAGCTGTTTGGTCAGTGTTTCCATCACTTCAGTACCCAGAATCCTCAGACAAACTTATTCAGCTTGGGTCCTTTTCTCAATACCGGGTTCTTGAAAATAAAATGGGTTTGCAGATGCAAACCCTGGACTAGGAACGCTCAGATCTGGGAGAAACCAAACTGGGATCCTTACCTACGGCCATCCTTATCTTGCAGAAGGAGGATGCCAAACGTAAGAGCTACCTCAAGGACCATCTCTAATTGCAAGGCTTCAAGAACTCTCTCGAGAATATCCAGCTCTCCAGTGGTAGCCAGGTACTGGCCACCAAAAGGCAAAAAAATAAGAACAGGGCATGGAGCTACGCAGGCACAACAGAGGCTCAAGGAACAAGAAGAGTCCAGTGACTGCCAACATCTCTAACCTGTCCTCGCCATGCTCTCAGCTGACTCCAGCAGCAGCTCCAGCACGGCATCCTGCGTGAGACATCAACAAATAGTTCAGCACGCGCAGCTCCGACCCGCACCTTCCCGCGCCGGGGCTGACAGCAGCAGCGTGCCTTTGTTTTACACCTGAGCAGCAGCAGCAGCAGCGATTCCAAACAAATATTGACTCTATCCTGACACAGGTTTTGCTGCGAACCCAACTGTGCGCTCTCTTGTTCCCCTGCAGCCGCAAACAAGGCTGTAAATTTCCCTTCAACAGTTAAAAAGAGAAACGAAAGCATCGACACGAGCAGGTGAGAGGAGAACGGCGCAGAAAAGCTGGGATAGCCGGGGATGTGAACCAGAAAACGCTGCCTGTGCTTGGCAAACGCCTCCCCTCTGCCGTTAGCTCTCTGCGGAGCCGCCAGGAGCCACGGAGGGATCGCAAGGGCCCAGGAGGGACAGGAGGTGACACTCGGTCCTGCAGCTCCCCGGGGTGCTGAGGGCCCGGGGATGCTCCAGCAGCCTTGGGGGCAGGCAAGGCTTAGGGCCGCGGTGTGGGGGCGAGCAGAGGGACCCCCCCCAGAGCCAGGCCTGGGAAGGGGTGAGGGATGGGGACAGTCCCCTTAGAGCCCCCCTAAAAACCAGGCCTGGCAAGGGGTGAGGGACACCAACGCCCCCATTAGAGCCCCCCTCAGAGCCGGGCCTGCCAAAGGGAAGGGATGGAGACCCCCCCTCAAAGCCAGGCCTGTCCCAGGGCCCCCCCCAGCTCCCTCAGAACCAGGCCTGGCAAGGAGCGAGGGATGGGGACCCCCCCGTCAGAGTCAGGCCTGGAAACGGCTGAGGGATGGGGACCCCCCCACACCCAGACAGGGCCCTAGAAAGGGACTAAGGGGCCTTAACCCACCCCCCCATCCTCCCCCCCCAAAAAAACACCCCACGCAGGCCCCGACCGGGCCCTGCCGCACCTCGCAGCCCCCCCTCAGCCCCCCCCCGGTCCCTCACGACCCCCTCCCAGTCCCCCCCAGCCCCTTTCCCGGCGGATGGGGGCTGTGAGGGGGGGGTGGGGGGGGCGCTGCCCCCCACCCCGACCCGAGGCCTCCGCCCTCCCCCACCAGGGGGCGCTGCCCCCGCCCCGCCCGCAGCCGCTGCCCCCGGCCCGGGGAACGAGGTGGGGGGGGGGACGGGGGGGGGGGGGGCGAAGCTCCGTGAGGAGAATGAGGGAGACAAGGTGCGGGGGGGGCGCCGCCCTTCCTCCCCCCCTCACCCTCCTCATCCTCCTCCTCCTCATCCTCATCCTCACCCCCCTCCCCTCCGCCCTCCCTTCACCACCGTCACCACAGAGGGGCCCCCTCAGCGCCTCAGCGCGCCCCCCCCCACACACACACACCTCCCCCCACACCCTTTCGGGGGCTCGTCCTCACCCGGTGGGCGCGGGTGAGGCTCAGGTCCTTCATAACCTCCTCGAAGGCCGCCGTCTCCTCGGCCTGCTTCTGGTTGTGGAGGGCGATCTTCTCGCTGAATTTCCGCGGGTTGTTCGACGCCGCCATCTTCCCCCGTCCGCATCCCCCTCCCCGCGCCGGACGGGAGGGGGGGGGGGGAGGGGGGAGGGAGGAGGCGTGGGGCGCATGCGCGGCGCGGAGCGTGTGGAGGGAGGGGAGGGGGGAGCGGAGCAAACTGCGCCTGCGCGGAACGGGGAGGGAGGGGGCGGTGAGGGGGCGGAGGGGCGCGTGCGCGGGGAGGGAGGGAGGGGGAGGGGGGAGCGCGGCGCGTGCGCGGAGGGGTGGGAGGGAGAGGAGGGGAGGGGAGGGGAGGGGGGCGCATGCGCGGTGAGGTCGCGCTCGCGCCTCACGGAAGGGTTTGGGGGGTGGGAGTGGGGGGTGAGGGAAAGGTGGCCCCGTGTCGGTCCGCGGAGTGGGGGAATCCTGAAGTGAGGAAGAAATTGGGAATTTTGGACGTTCTATGTGGTTTTTAAGCAATAAAATAAAATGTGTACCTCATGTTTTCTGTCATAAGTTACCGAGGGGGTCCTCGGCTCTTCCCGCCTTGAGATAACGGAGGCAGAATTGCCTGAGTGAAGCAGTTCTCAGAGCATCACGTACCAGGAACAACCCCGCGGGGTTACAAACAGGATTCCCATCCCCTCTTCACAGAATCCTATGATTAATAAGGTTGGAAAACACCTCCAAGATCATCTGGTCCAACCATCCGTCACCCAACCACCAATGTCAACCACTAAACCGTGTCCCTAAGCACCATGTCCACCCTCAGGGTGGGGCTGCCTTCCAGGTGCAGCAGCATGTGAAAAAGGGGAAAACATAAAAAATAAAAACCTCCAAATTCATTAGCAAGTCTTTTAGGATGAGCAACAGTTCCTCCAGTAATCGCTGCCTCATGGAGGCTACAATAGGTGAAGCCAGAAGAGAAGCCAGAGCTGTGCAGTGGATGTTTGGTACTAAGACACCAAGTGAAAGTACCATTTCTGGTAAAGGTTTAGGAATCATCAAAGGCCGATGTTTTTGTGGACCGTTTAGGTGTGACGTACAGCCAAGCAGAAGATGCTACCGCAGTTCTGAACTGCACAAATGGGCGCATCCTTCCCCCACAAGCACATTTTCCCTGCCAAATTCCTCCCAGCACACCCAGCTCCACCAGCTGCCCTGCCCCATGGCACGAACCCCAGCTCCACACCACCATCACCGGGTTTATTTCCCCACCGAGGAGGCAAGGCCTTGGCCAGCAGCGGCATTTTTGGCAGGAGGATGGGAGCACGAGCAGCAATGACCCCGCCGGGCTGGTTCCAGGAGCACGGCAGTTTCGAAACACAGAACACGAGCTTAGGCTGCTAAGCCATTGATTCCAGCTGTGTTAACATCCAACTGGTGCAAAGTACTGTGATATGCGAGACACACGCATTAAGCAGTAATAAATCCTGAAGATACCGTTTCCCAACGCCCACGCGCTGTCCTTTACACTTTTTTTTTTTAATGAAGCAATGGAGATAAAGTGGGCACTCCCCTTTTTTTGGTGCATCGCTCTGCCCCTGAACAGCACCTACCCCTGTAACCCAACCCTGTAATGGCTGAGCTATGGGAGCAAAGCAATTAGACACCGCTCTCACTTCCACTCTCGACCACCTCTGTGGCCTTGTTTTAGTCAGGTTACATTGATAAGCGCTTCCTGCCCACGTAAAAATAAGAGATTATAATTCTCAGTTGGAGATGGATGGATGGAACTCAATTCAGCAACTGTCAGGAGAAGTTTTAGCAGCAAAGTCACGTCCTACCCTCAACGCTAGTTGCCAGTTTGCACTTAAAGAGTTTATAACGTGGTACGAGATAGCATCGCAGAAAGCAGAGCTGGGACTTCAAAGACCATTGAGGCCATTCCCTTGCAGGATCAGCCGTACCCGTGCCATTCCTGACAGATGTTAGTCTAACCCGTTCCTGTATTTTTGACCAGGCATAAACAGCCAGCACTCACAATCAGATAAATACCCTCTAGCTGCGTACATGAACAGCACATGACCTGCGAAATTGGACTGTCACGCTAAAAGCATACACACCTTAAGTTTTAGCACTAAGACACTTATTATCCAGCACGCTTTTGCTTGAGAAGCGAGATGACGATAAGTAATTTGTTGAGTTGTACGGGATTTAATACTAGAGGTGGTCATATCAAGCATCTACAGACCCAGCTGTTGCTGGGCCTGTTTTAGCACCAAAAGATTAAGTGCCTAAGATGAAACTTGATAAATTTTCCCCTCTTGGATCTCTCAAGATTGAAGAGAGTGAAATCTCCCCTCTGACGGCTACTCTGGCTCTTGGTTCGCAGGGAAGGAACGCAGATGGCCAGGGAGGCGGGGGGGTTACGACTTCCTCCCTTCGGAAGACTCCCTTTTCGTATTGTTTCGCCTGTGCAGCTTTATCAGATTGAATTCCATTGTGCAACTTGGACCCTGCTTCTGATCTGAAAGTCTCCGATTTTAAAACAGTTTGCGTAACAAACTTCTCTTTAATGCAACACTTGTGTTTGCTGAGTCGCTTCTGGAATTTCTCACCCACTCACAGCTCCTCGTTTTGGGGTGTGGGTGGATCTGAATGGCTGCTAAGTGCATGACCTAGCAGACAATGTAAATCTTGACTGCATTAAGGCATTGGCAAGGAGACATTTCAGATTGGTGCCAGGTTTCCTTCTTCCTCCACTGAAGGAGATATGCCATGGCTTTGACAAAATGATGAGCTCATACCATAAGTATTATTTATGTCTCCTGCCGTCTTCACCTTGAGCACATATGGGGCCATGTGAGAACAACTTGATCTCACTAGAAAGCTGTGATGGGATCCCTTGAGACAGCAGTTCCTTCTCCCCCAGCCTTCCAGACGTGTTATGAAAAAGTTTCTTACAAGGGAGAATCAGAGCTTTGCTCTGAAGCAAACAAAGAGTCATCGGAGGACCTGGGTGTTGTGCTCTCACATCTGCTTTTGTTGCAAACAACTCCTTACTGAGCAACCTGCAGCTTCTTCGAGCAGATGCAGCCGAGAGCAAGCGGGTAGCGGGGAGGAGGGTTTGTTTACTTAGCACTTGTTTGTTATCCTCTCGGTCCTTCGGAATTGCTCTGGCAGATGAGATCCAGCTACTTCCATATTCGCCCTTGGAGGCTTCAGAGGAAGGTGTGAGGCTGAAAAAACTTCCACAACAGCAGACAGCAGGAGACTGTGCCGTGATCGACAAATAAGCTGAACTTTTTTTTTGCTTACAGACACAAAGATTTTGATCTCTCACACTTCCTACTTAATGTTCCTGTTGATGTTCCCATTATCCTCAGGGAAGAATATCCTGTGAAATCCACAGAGTCCTGAGTTCCAATGCTATTTTGAACCGAGCTCCGAATTGTGCTTACAGGGGGAGAACATTTTCTTGTTTCACCTGGAATTTCTGCACGTTTCTTTAATTTAAGAAGTCCTTGCTTCCAGAGGGCAAATAAAAGCACCTGAATTACCCTCTCTACACCATTCATCAAACCTGATGGGCAGCCCAAGCAAACCAACTCGCAGACCTGCACAGAGCACCACAATTCCTCCATCCTACCACTGTCATCCTTCCCGTTTAGCTTCTTCACCGTTCCCCGTAATTTCTGAAATTACAGCAAGAAAGCAAACACCGACTGCTGCAAGATATTATTCTCATTTCTACGAGTCTTATGTTCTGGTGCTCTGTAATACTTTGGCAGCCCAACAGAGGATTCTGTTACAGTTATTTTTCCCAGAATCGAGGCTTGGCTTCACGCCACGCTGAAGCAAGAAGTATTCCCGTGATGCTGAGGTGATGGGGTGAGCTGGGAAAGCGCGTGCCACTTTCCGTCTTCCCAAAGATAACCCTCGAAGAGTGGGCAAAGCTTCCCCGTGCAGGTATGTTCGCAATCAGCACTAAAAGGTGAGGCACCGGTGAGAACCAGGCGCTTTATTGAAGCAAACAGGAAAGCGGGAAGTCCTTTTTACCACTAAGAGATTACACCACTGCAATCAAATGGCAGATCAGACGCAGCAACATGTCAGAGAGCGACATGTTTCCTTCCACAGCCTTCTGTCGAATCAAAGTTCAGGCAATTTGGTGATGTTCTATGTATAAAGCTGCAGAAATAAATTATTTTTAAATCTCACGGTTTGGCTTCGGAGACATATGCAAAAAGGGTCATAAGCAACGGAGTTCAAATCCCGATTTCTCTGCAGAAGTTTCCTGAGCACTCGGATTATAAAATGGGGTAGGCACCAATCATGTGCATGGAGCTGCACGAGGATCAGGCTTGTCCTGCTCTCTCCTGCTACCTTCAAGCAGAAATATAATCCTATTAACCACTGGCTTCAAATGTGGCTAATAGGCTCCACGTAGTTAACTACCTGCCTACTCCTCGGTGGAAAAGCAGCCCCTGCTATTTCCTTGCCTTAGGACAGATGTTTACCTTCAAGCCAAAGGCTCAACTTACACATTTTTATGCTGAAGGTATTAAAAAAAAAATAAGATCTAAGGGTGAAAGAGAATCTGTTTGCAGGAACGGGTAATTTTTGCATAAAAACCCAATGACCAGTTAGGCAAACACGCCAGCCAAACTCCGGCACCTCCCAGCGTCACTCGTTTCAGTCTCAGTCAAGCAGGAGCATTACAAAAAGTCGATTCCTCAGCAGGTGACTAAGCAACCGCCACAGCAGTCCCATTTTGCTGCCTTCTGTGGCTGAGCTGTTCTCTTTGCCCTACACATTCCGGTTTCACTCGCACACCGAATAAACAAGGTGTGCAAAAGCAACGCAGGTTGCTCCACGAGGACTGCTTTCCTGGGACAGAGGCAGCAGAACGTCATAACTAAGAAGTTCCTTCTGTGCTGCAGCCCTGCTTGCAAACTGTTTTGTAGCCACAAAGCCAAAGAGCTCGCTTTCTCCTTCCCTCCCTCTTCCTGCCTCTGAAGCAAAACAAGCCGCACCGATAAACTTGCCTGCTGGGACAGTCCTAGGGAGGAGAGATGAATTTTGGTTTTTCAGGGAAGTCGCGTTCCTACCCTGGCAGGTTTCTGCTGCGAAGCCTGTGGTGCAGATCTGGTCACCGACCGT